TGCTTGAATTATTAGTTTTTGACAGTATATGGGATACAGGAATCCCAGGAAAGCTATCACGGTCTTTTTCAACTCAAAATACTAGTAAATTTTTTGATCTTTGAGAAGAGATTTTTGTTTTATTTTGTATTTTCCATAGTGGTTGCGTGTGAAACAAGGAAAATAAATGTAGCACAACATCGTGATTTCTGCGCACTCAGCATAATGTATGAATTTAGAGTGTGAATCCAAGGAAATTATGATCAAAGTCCATTTTTAAGGTTTCACCAGGTTCGGGGAAGATATAGCAAACAAATTAATATGTCCTTCAACTAGCAAATCTATGTTTATGCGAAACTGTCCCTTTAGTAGTTTACGTAATACTAGATTGTTAGGATCGTGATCATTATATCAGATCGTACAATCGAACAGTAAGATTGTAATGTTCTGTCAATTAATTAATACTAGTGAAAATTAGTATGAGTTCAATCAAAATGAATTTTATATACAACACTAAAATTTTTCCTTTATAAAAAAAAGGGCGCTTTTGGCCTTTTACGTTGGGCTCTTTTTTAGGATAGATGAACTGCTTAAAATTTGGGTTCAAAATAAAATAAGCCCAAAAACAAACACCTAACCAATACCATAACTGGTAGAGAAGAGGCCCCTGTCGGGTGGTGTTTGTGATCCTACCTCAATCTACCTAAATGGGAGTCTTTGTTTTCGGGCAGAACCAAAGAGTGGGTTTAATTTCTATTGGTTTAGGACGTTTGCCAATATCATGACCGTAAGATTTGAATCAAGAGTTATGTATTACGATCCTTTGATCTAATTGCATCAAATTGAGAAGTTGAAAAACTTTTATTGAATACAACAATAATATAAGAGCATATTGAGTGTTGAAATAAAATTTGAGAGATTTTAAAATTCATATAAAGTTGTGGGGATTGAAAGGTTTTATTTGACCATGGTGGTGGTGCTGGCGAGGTCATAATTAAACTATTTAAGATAAGGAGGAGGCTTGGTTTTGGTACGTGTAGGGTTTTGCTTATTCTTGCAAGCTTTTCATCTTTGCTTGTTTTACTCGCAGCAGGATGATTCTTTGGATATATACAACTTTTACTTGTAAAAGGGGGAGAGAGAAAAAAAGAATGTATGTGTGTGTAGCAAGCCAAAACATAGTTGTTGATGTAAGATAACAGTTTTATTCATTCATATATTTTTGATTTGGAGAAAAGGATATGAAATCTGGAGATAACAACTTTATTAATTATACTCCAACCATCCCTGTAAAGTAAATCAATGCTAATCGTCTCCTTGCTCTACTTAACAGCAGGTTGCAGCAATGGACAGAGCTTGAACATTTCAATGAATCGACAAAAAGATGGCCAAGACAGAGAGAACCATGGTAAAGGCAAACACAGTGGGATGTGGTACTGGAGCAGATGATACATCAGCTGTAACATTGAGAGCTACCTTCTGGCCTTGCTCACAGTGAGTATCAACGGTGCAGATGAAATAGTGGAAGCCCTCCGAAGTGATAGGTACCCCTACCCCAGCCTCTCCGATTAGCCTTATTCCTGCACTGCTTTTGTTGCAGCTATCAAAATCAGCCTTATTTGTCACTTGAGCTGCTGTGTGAACCCCAGTCCAGTTGAATACTGAATGAAGAAATTAGGATTTAAGGGTTAGATAATACTACCAAGCAATCCAGGGACCCGTAATCAACTTCTTTTTTCATTTTGCTCTGAACAAAGAAATGATAGTTGATGTCCAAAGAGATATATTTGAGGGATACTTACCTGCTACATCTCCAATCTTAAATTCAAATCTGCTTGCCCAGCTAGCATAAAAGTCACTGGAGTTGTTGGGGGGAACATCCCAACCATAGTTATCTCCCACAGTGTAATCAGCTGCAATTGCACCCTCTAGAAATGTCATTGCCACTATCAATAACGCAATCAAGCTCAGGCCCACGCGGTGGTTAGTCATTTTTTCTGTGTTGCTCAGGCCACCCCTAGGGAGAACACGCTCGTCTTGTTTGCCTTGAAGAAATTTTATGATTTAGAAAGAAAATGGGAATGAATAATTCGACAACCATGATGTCTGCATCTTGCATATATATATATATATATATACAAAACAAAAGCAAGTCCATTAGAAGACAATAACTGCATAAGAAACGAGGAGGGAATTGATGGTCCTGCAGCATTGCCGTGGACTAACCTTACTTGGAAAGTAGAAGTGGAATACGTTCCTTGCTTTGGTAGCTAGCGCCAGAAAAGGACTAGGGTACTAATACTCTTCTACCTTCAAAATTGGCATGGTTCACGGTTTAATTTTCTTCTGTTATATTTTTGTTTCGCATGTTCTATTTCTTGATTTTTGATCATTTTGCACTTCCTGTTTCTACAAGTCACAAGACTATCGATTTATGTAAACACATGGTATTAACAATTTGATTGGATTTATGTAATTGATAGATCCTGTAAACATTAACAGCAGAATGCCTATGCAAACCAATAGCAGGAGATTGTTATATCATAACCACAAAAACATATATTGATATATACACAAATTATTGCAGAGCAAGCTCTGAATTTGGAATCACAATGTTAAAAGTAACTATACATAGCTGAAAATTAAATCAAAGAGGTTAAACTTAGGATATGAAATTTCGAGAGACTCCAAGGTGAGTGTAATCGCCAGTTGGGAGTCGAGTGTTTGATAAACAAGATACGTGATATATGACTATATAAGACCTGCAAGAGGATCCATGTTTATCCTCCTCCAAAGGCTACTTCAGGCTGCTATATTACCTAGAAATGGAGGGATTGGTTGTCAAATTGGGCTTCTTTTTCAGAATTTTATGGATGGTTTTAACAAAAAGAGGTCTACTTACTTTTGGAACGCTGATGTTGCTCTGGTTGATTAAGTAGACAAAAAGAAAATATTACAGATATGAATGCCAACTAAATTAATAGCATGTTTGGTTGGGGGGAATGGCTTTATTCCCAAGGAATTTTGATTCCTTTATTTGGTTGAGAAATAGTTTAAGGAATAGCCATTCCTAAGGAATGGATATTCTTCAAAATCCTCCAAAACTAAGGAATAGCTAATACCATTCTCTCCCATGGTATTAACTATTCCATAGTTTGATAAATAAACTCAAAAAATCATAAAAATTAAAATACTCTTAACAAGTTTAAAAAATTACAACTTTATTTATATAAAATATTCTCTTTTTCTCTCTCCTCTTCCCCTTCCTTGATTCCAACTTTTAACAAAATATTAATATTTTAACAAATTAATATTAAATTATAAACAAAATATTAATATTTAAATTATAAATTATTAATAAAATAACTTATAAATTATTCATATTTAAAAAATAAATTAAAAATAAATAAGCATAATATCTTTTAAATTATATATAAAATATTAATAATTAAATCATCAATTATTAATATTTTAA